TAGAAAAAGAAGTAAAAGTTATTGATGTGATGGAAATTATTATTTTATTGAATAATGTGTGGTTGAAAATGAGTAAAATAATGAGAATTAGAATTTTAATGTGTACCAAACAAGGGCGTAGTTCGATAACCAATATAATTATGATAAGAATTAAAAAGGTTATTGTTAATGAATAAAATCTCAAATTGAATAAAGATGAAAATATAGATCAATTTATAAGAGTTTGAGCTACTGTTCTTAACAATATTAACATTTTAAGATAGAACCACAATTCTTATCATGGTATCAGAGTCCATTAAATTTCAACGAGTAATTCGATCTCATTAAGACTCAAAAAAATTGAGCACACAGATTTCAAGATTGGTTTGCTCAAACGAGCCACCATCTTGTGGGGACATGTTAAGAAATAAAATCTCATATCAAACGAAAATGAAAACATATACCAATTTATAAATGTTTGTGCTACTCCTCTTCGAACCCCAATTCTTATCAGTTATCAATTTATAAAATGATAATGTACGAGAAACTAACAAAATTTTTAATTACGAAGTTAGTGTAAAGACAAAATTTCCCTTGCATTTTGGGATAAGTTGGCCTAAAAAAACCCTTGTCTATTGTACAAAAAAGTGTACTCTATGATCACAAAAAACAGCGATATTTTACTTTTCACTCAAATATATATCGACATCCATGATGTTGGATTCAAGCATACATTTAAATTAAATCAACATATTTTTCCTTAGACAAAATTCTAATATTTAAAGTGGAACATTATTTCCTTCCAATATCTTATAAATCGAAATATGATTTTTTGTTTGCAACGAAATGATGAACCGTGTTTCAAAAATATTTAGGAGTACAAAAGTTGTTGCTTCCATGGCATATTAAAATAATACTGATACTTGATGTAATATATAAGTCACGATGAGTAACTCTTCATGATAGTCGAACCAAGTTTAATCACTTCTCCTATTAAACCACAAATGTACAATTAGATAAGGTTATTTAGTTTTTTTTTTCTTTTTTGCCAAACTTCAGACGGCGATAATGGAAAATAATAAAGCATTGTATATATCATATTAGGAAACTAATGTGCATTGTGTTACATATACTATTATGCTGAATCAAATAATATAGGACAAAATCAAAATTAAAAATATAAATGAGTTAAAATCTTTGTTCAATGTAATGTACTAATTAACATGCCCAAGGAGTTCATATAACACCAAATTAACTTAATAATTAATTTTCTTCTACCCTTTGTCATTTGGCGCCACTAGTCCATTCAACCCTTACATCAAAAAAAAAATAAAAAAAATTCCATTTGTTTCATGTCATAGTTCCTTCTAGTCATGGCATTGAACTTTCTAATTAGTAGAAAGTATTTCAATAGTTATTACTTATTAAACAAGTATGCTCAACATATTTTTTTTTCAAATATTCAATTACATATCTTAGTAGAAAAATAATCAGACAAAAAGTCTTTTTTTCAAGAACAGAAGAGTAAGTTTCGTCTTTACACCACTCAAAAATTCCGTTCTACACAGCCATTCCAATGCATAGATGCCCAGTGGAAAGCAAACTAAGGGTCCGTTTGATAGGTAAAAGTGGAAAGAAATTTCAATTTCATGTTAATTGAAAGATAAAAATTCACCAAACCCATATGAATTCGTTTTCCATGAAAACAAGGAAAATGCAGCTTAAAGTGATTGTACCTTGAAATTCGATTTCCATTTCCATGTTACAATGAAACGGTCAAAGTGAAATTCATTTTTCTCGGACATAACATTTTCCATGAAATTTGTTGCAATCAAATAGGGCCTAAAAGTACTTACGTTGAGTTCAAATAGAACGGAAAATATGAAGAAAATGGCAACTACATTATTTATTTTTTTTTTAATAATCCCAAATATTCCACTTACCAAAAAACTAAAGTCGTATTCTCCCTGGCAAGCATGAAAAAAACCCATATTTCCAATTTCCAATCCTAGGTTTCTATCGCCAATTTTTAATGAAAAAAATCAAATTCACTATCATTTTTAGATTCTAGGATTTTAGCTGGCAGTTATAATTTAGTTGGTAGGTATACTGTCATAAGCCATGCCAACTCAATACTATTCTATAATCAATACACCAATTTCTCGTTCACTAATTCTTAATTTCAAATTCAAAAACTCCACGGGCATTAGATTCTTGAATAGGGATGTGATATTCGAGCTTTGGACTTCTCTATTTTTAAAATATTGTAAGGATTATAAAACAATTTGTTCCTGATGTAACATTAAATTAAGGATAAGCTAATGAATTAATAGTCCTAATTATTATTATTTTCTATAATTCCACTTGCATGGGAATTGACTTGTGCAAAAACTAAGTCCGCGTATCGATAGGGCATTGGTCTACATATATATATATATGATCATTTTCTTTCGATTTTTTCCTATTTGCTGGTGAAGCATAATGACAAAGTCAATGAATTACATACGAAATAATACAATTGTTTTCTTTGAGTTCTTATCCACAAACGCAACAAGAATATATATGACAACATTGAGATAATATTTGTGAGCAATAATTCATTCTTATAGTAAGATTTTAGTAATGAATAATG